GTGGGGTGGCCCCCAGGTACCTTCTCATCCAGTTCGTCCTCACTGTCATAGGGGAAGTCGGAGGGGGGGTCCCAGTCGTAGTCGACGTGGATCTGCAGGGAGAGCTTCCCTGCCTGTGCCTGCTCCAGCTGCGGGATGGGGTGGGTGAGAGGGGTCTCAGCACAGGGGGACAGGTCACAAGAGACCCCCACCTCCACGCTAGCCCTCCCCCAGCATTTTGGTACCCCCTCCCAGCCTGAGCATCCCCCCCATCCCACCTACCAGCTCTTCGCACTCCACATGCTTGAGCCTCCTGGCCACGTCCAAAGCCGTCTCACCCGCTGCGTTCACTGCCCGAGGGACGAAAGGGACCAGATCCAGGTTACAGCTCCCACTGGAGAGCCCCAAATTCCCCCGATCCCACCCCCATACCCGTGGTGAAAGCAGCTTTGCCCTTCAGGAGCAGCTTGAGGCAGTTGGGTTGGTTGTAGAGCGCGCCATAGTGCAGAGCTGTGTTCCCATCCTGCGTCACCCGGTCCAGCGTCCCCCTGTGGGAAAGCCAAAACTCAAGAGCACGCAAAGCACCTGTCCCCTGTGCTCGGGGATGCTTCTCCCACAGGGAAATGGGCAGGGGACACAGTGGGCAGTGGGGACACACCCGTTCTGGATGATGAAGTCCACCAGAGGAAGGGACGATCTGTCAGCGTGGCGCACGGCCATGTGCAGCGCCAGCTCGCCTGTGTCCTGCCATGAGATGGAGAGGAGGAGAGAGGTGGAATAAAGGATGCTTCATCTTCCCCAGGATGAAGGGGAGAAGAGTCCTGGACCCAAAGAAGCTTCATCTGCATCAGGATGGAGGGGAGGAGAGAGCTGGACCAGAGGATGCTCATCTCCCCTGAGACAAAGGGAAAGAAGAGCTGGTTCCAAGGATGGAGGAGAGATGAGAGGTAGAGTCCAGAATGCTTCATCTCTCCCAGGATAGAAGGGAAGAGAGAGGTGGACCCAAGGACGCTTCATCTCCCCCAAGATGGAGAGGAGGAGGGAGCTGGACCTGAGGATGCTTCATCTTCCCCAGGGCCCATCTACACCCAAAGGCCAGGAGAACCCTGAGCACAGGCATCTAAAGCAGTAAAAATCCCCATTCGCTGCCCGGCAGAGGAAGTGGGGCAGCGTGGGGCTCACCTGGCCCTCGGGGCTGGCCAGGGGCTTGGCCAGGTCGTGGCCCTCGGCGAAGGCCTGCAGCAGGGCCAGGAGGTCGCGGGGTCGAATGGCGTCCCAGAGGCGGTGGGGGTCCTCGCGGCCGCTCTTCTGCACGTAGCGCCGCTCCATGTACTTGGCCACGATGTACTCCTTGCGGGCGGCCCTGCGTGACGGGCGGCACAGAATCAGCTTGGCTGGGCACAGAGACTGTACCCCCTCCATCTCCACCACAGCCAGAGCCACCCCAGATCCCTGCCTCCTTCAAAAACATTGGGATTAGGGAAAAACCTCCAAAAAAGGTAGAGATCCCCACCCAAATCTAAGTCAGTGACACCATGACCTCCCCTCTTCCATCCCTGGGCTGTCTCGGAGCTCACGGGCAGTGGTGCGAGGACACAAACAGACCACGCACCCTGCACTCCTCCTCCTCCCAGCCCACCCTGAGCCCCCTGACTCACATATCACTGCCGGCCGAGGGCTTGGGGCAGTCCTGCGTGGGCAGCGTAGCCTCCATGATCTCATTAAAGCGGGCATTCCCGACGCTGACGGCCAGCTACGGCGAGAGAGGGGACGGGGGGTGACGAGTCCTCCTGGCCACACTTGGCCTGGTCCATCCCCATCCTCAGTCTCCATCCCCAATTCCCATCACCCCCAATTTCTATCCCAGATGCAGACGGAATCCACTAGATCCCTCCAGGACCTTCCCAGAGCAGCATCTCCCCCGGGGACAATGCTCTTTCACATCAGGGGAAGTCTCTTTTAATAGGGAGTAAATCTTATTAATAGGGAAACCAATCATATTAATAGCAAAGCAATTAATAGGGAGCTTAGCAAGTGGCTTTGCAGACCTCCCCCACTCGTCCAGACCACTGTGCTGGGAGCTGCAAGCTGCCACTGGGGAAACTGAGGCAAGTTTGCAAGTGCTAGGCAGAGATGGGATGGAGGGGAAGGGATGGACTTTGCATCCCAGGAGGTTTGGGAGCTGCAGAGGGCAATCTCTGGGCTTAGGAGACCACTTACCAGCAGCTCCGAGGTGCTGAGGACATCCAGGGTGAGGGACTGGATGCGGGAGTAATGGACGCCCAGCTCCCGATGGATGCCAGAGCACTCGATGCACGTCAGGATCCCCAGGTTGGTGGAGAGCCACGTGGGGTCTGCCAGGGCAGGGGGTTGAGAATCACCACCCAACCCCTTGGGATGCTGAAACCTCTTGGGATGCTGAAACCCACCCCCAGGGTACCCAACCCCAACCTACCTGGCGCCCCGCAGTCGCAGCACTGCTTGTTTCCTGGCATGTTCTTCACCTCGCCGATCACCAGCTTGGTGAGTTCCTGTACGCTGCCATCCCCCCCTCCGCCCGCCACCGCCCCGCTGCCGTTGGGCTCCCCCTTGAAGGCGTTGCTCAGTGCTTCATCCTTGCTGTTCTGCAGCACCGAGACCCACCTGGGTGAGGGTGAGGGGGTTCCATCAGGAGGAGGAGGAAGGAAGAGGAGGATCTGGCATTGCAAGGAGTGGGGAAGGGCTGTCGTACTTACACAACACACTCCTGCTCGTCCTCTGCTTGGAAGTGATACGTCCTGTTGTCTGCAGGGATGGGGAGAAGGTGTGAGGAGGGGGATTTGGGGATGATCAGGACACCGGGAAGGAGCTGAAACTACTCCAAAAGAGTTGCTTTAAACTCAAATTAAATCATTGCGCGTCACTCTTCCATCACCCACGCCCTGTCATGAGCTCTTTTTGCCTTGAGCTTGCCAGATTTGGGAAAGGTTGGTCCTTCCTCCATAAAGGCAGCCAAGGAGATGCTCAGCACCGCATTAAAATGACAAATGGTGCCCAGATGCTGGTAAAACCCGCTTGGGATGCTCTGCTCCAAAAAGGGAGTTCCCACCATGCAGCTCAGCCACCTCCAGGTCAACGCCCCCCACCCCAGCCATGGCACCCTGCTCCAGGCACTCACGTGTCACCAGGTCGAAGCATTTCTTCTCCTCGGCATGGGGCCGCACTTGGCAGGTGAGGAGGTTCAGCTTGACGGGGGGACGGTTTATCTGCAGGGTGGGACGTGTATCACCCACGGTGTACCCCCCATGGGACAACCACCATGCCCAGATGGTCCCTTCTGGGACCCTTTGCAGGAGAACAGGGCTCAGAGTTGTCCCGGAGCCACGTCCTCTGTCTCCACTGCAGTTCCCAGCCTCCACCGCCAGGGGGCAGCACCACCACAAACCACTCCAGCCCCTTTGGCCTTGTCTGGAACCTCAACGCCCATCTCGCTGCCTCAGCCAAACCCACCGTCCCCTCGCATTGACGCCTATCAAACGTGGAGGACCTCATTTAGTACGTCCAGCCCCAGCTCGTACTAAATTTTAAGCCGAGCAGATCCGTGACCAGTTTGGGCAAAACTAAACCCGAAATCCAGTGGTCACCAACGCTCAAAGGGTGACTTCGAGGGTCAGGGCTGACACCCCTCTGCTCCTCACCGTGCTGTGGGAGATGGTCAGGCAGCCATACTTCACCCCACACTTCCTCTTCTGCCACACTTTGCGGATCCTGAGGAGGAGGAAGAGGAGGAGTGAGGAAGCTTTGCGCAGCTCTGATCGCCCACATCCAACCGCCTCCCACACCACTCACAGCAGCCCTCGGCAGAGGCCCGATGGCTTTGTGGATGTGAGGTTGCGCTTCCTGTAGCTCACAAACCATCCCACTGAGCAGGCTGGCCACAGGCCGTGCTGGCCAATAGCATCATCTATCTGGTAGCCCAGTTCAGCAAAGCATACAAGCACCCACTCAAAACCTGGTGCTCATCACCCAGAGGTCCACTGAGAAGGTGAAGACCTCCTCTTCAGAGCTCTGAGGGTTTTACTTTTCACCCTAGATGATCCCACCACAATCCTCTCTCCCTCCAATTTTATAACCCAAGGAATTTCTTCCTCTCCCATCAGCCCCACAGCTTTTCAGGGTCAGCTTGGCACTGGGTGGGTGTTCCTGGACATCCTCATCCAAGGCCAATACACCAACACAGCACAAGCTGCTGTGCCCAGTCAGTCACCCAGGAGAGCATCACAGGAGAAGGAGCTTGGGCATCAGACTCTACTGGGGGCCTTCACACAAGAAATGGGCCAATGACAAGAAACCATCGTGGGGGAAGGTCCCTGCACCCACTCCAAACCTCCTCCTGTCCCAGCTGCAGTTGGAGACGCCCCAACCCCTGGCCACCAGCTGTCCGGTCTCCTTCAGCCTGGGGAGAAAACCCTATTCTCCAAGCATTTACGGATGCTTAAGACCAGACAGGACCATTTGCACCTGAAGACCTAAAAGGGACCAAAAACCTGCCCCAAACAGTCCCACCTTGGGATGTGCCAGCTCTGGGGTCTCCCACAACCACAACGTTTTCCCAGCTCTCTGGATGAATGACACCCATCCTCACCCATCGCTCTTCTTGTACAGAAATCCCGACTTCTCCGTCCCGTACTGCTTGTTCCCTTGGTGCTGGTGGATGCTGTAGCCGCTGCCAGAGTTCTTCCTGCTCAGGTTTTCCTGAGCTCACCAGGGGAAAAAAAAAAAAGCACAGGATCACAGAGTCATTAATGTTGGAAAAGACCTCTAAGCTCATCCAGTCCAACTGTCAACCCAACCCCACCATGGCCACTAAACCATGGCCCCAAGTGCCACATCCACGGCTTCTTGAACCCCTCCAGAGATGGGGACTCCACCACTGCCCTGGGCAGCCCCTGCCAGTGCTTGACCACTCTTTCAGTCAAGAAATGTTCCCCTATATCCAATCTAACCCTCCCCTGGCACAACTTGAGGCCAAAGCATTTAAAAAGCAAAGTGAGAGGCGTGGAAGTGGCTGCTGCCCCAAAATGACCTCATCCTTACGTGGATGCAGTGCCCCCCAGAGACTCCCATCCCCTCCAAGCATCTCCCAGATCTCCTGCTCTGCTCCCACAGACGTCCCCTTTGGTCCCCAACTCCCCCTTTCCAGCCGCTCCCCATGCTTAGCACCCAGCACCCTCCCGTGCCCATCCTGGGGCCTCACCTCCTTGTTCTCCAGCTGCAGGATGCTGCGGAGGGCATCGCGGGTCTGCGTCAGCTGTTTCACCTCCTCCTCTTGCGCCTGGTGGAGCTGGAAAGGGAGGGAGCTGCCCTCACTGCTGCGCTGAACACGGGCAGTCTCGGGGGGGTGGCATCTCAGGGGACACATTGGAGCGGCGGGGGATGGCAGGCGGGAGGACTCACCGCATGGAGGGACACAGCCAGCTTCTCAATGAAGGGGTAGAGGTTCTGGGCAGCCTTCCAGCCGTCTTGGAAGAAACTGGGCATTTATTTCACGGGATTAAGATGCAGATGGGGAAGACAGAGAAAAAGAGGTTGTTTTTTTTTAGAGAAAACGTGGCAGGACACCATAGCAACCCCCCTGGGAAGCTGCTCTTATGGTTCCTCTGCTACTGGGGCCTAGGGAGACCCTGCCAAAGGACAACCCAGCCCATGGGGTCTGGATACCCCAAATATTTGGGGTGTTTGAGATGCAGGATTGGCCCCTTGCTCAGTGCAAGCTGATCCCAGTGGGGACCAGCCCTGCTGGAGGCCACATCCTGGGGTCCCTGGGTCAGATCCTGGGGTCCCTGGGTCACAGCCCAAGCTGAGGGCACGTTCCTGGCCAGCGAGACTGCTCCCTCCCTGCCTCAGTTTCCCCACTCGAGAGCTGGAGGAGATGATGAGGGACCAGGAAAGGCGAGTGGATGTTAATCCTTGTTCCAAACACCCTTGTTATGAGCCCCATGGCTAATGGCGGAGCCACTCGGCTGAACTCATCCCTGGAAATCTATCCAGAAACCGAATCATCGGCTGCATCCCGAGCCAGCCCCCTTCCCCCAGCCCTCACAGACACGTTTACAGCTCCTCCAGCCAACAAAGCACCTTTCAACTCCCCGATACAACCAGAGAGCAATGAGCTTTGCCCAGCATCTTCATCAACAGCTTTGTGCAGCTGGGACGGTGCCCCCAGACCCTCAGGGGACCTCACAGAGCGGATGATGGACCCTGGGGATGAGCTCCCCCCAATCTTGGTGGGACCTACTTGTGCTGAGCGTGGAAAAACTTGATGAGGCTCTGCAGGAAATCTGGTCCCTGCTTCATCTGTGACTCGCTGGCTTTCAGCAGGTACTGGAGGAGGAGAAGACACCCCGTTAGGTGATGGAGACAAGGACCGGCTGAAAATAAAGAGCAAGAGCCTGCGGGGGCCTCAGCTGCCTTCCCTGCGCAGGGAGGAGGGTTCAGTCACTGGCGGGGTTTCAAGAAGTCGAGTCACGACGTTGGGTTCGAAGGCAGCTCGCTGGGGACCACCCTCAGAAAACCTGGCTCGGGAAGTCCTCCCAGCCCTGAGAAGTTCAAGGAGGGAGGCAGGCCCCCGGGGTTTCCAGCCAAGCGTGCTTCTCCCGCTGCTCATTACTTCTGGAGTTAATAAATAACCGAAACGCAAGGCAGCTCGAGAAGGAAAAAAACAAAATTTTAAAAAAAAAAAAGCCCAAGTATTTTTTTTCCAGACATGACCCCTTCGCTCCCAAAAAAATCAGATTTCAAGCAGCGAGCGCCTGCAGCACATCAGCTTCGGAGGTCTGCAGCCCTCGCTGAGGTGTCCCACGGGATGGGGAAACACAGCTTTATATGTCAACGTCATCCATCACTGCAGGCAGAAAAGACCCAGAGCTTTGCTCACCCTGAGCAAAATAAAGGAGGGGAAGAGATTTCCCCTGTGAGCTTCTCTCTGGGCCGGCGCAGCTGCTGAGGGTGGTTTTGAGGGGAGGGGAAGCAGCCCTGAGCTTCCCATGGTGGAGATGGAGCCTCCCAGTGCCACAGACACCCCTGCCCAGCACAGGGATGCACAACATTGCATTCAACCGACTGCGCCCCCTGAACAAAGATCTTGAAGGTCTTCTCCAACCTTAATGATTCCGTGACTTCCCAGCCCTGTCACCCACACCCTGGGGTGATGGTGGCAGGGGACAGTCCCAGGCAGCGCTGGCTGAGATCCTCGAGCAAAGGGATGCTCCCAGCATCGCCTGGGTCCAGGTCCAGCTCCATCCACCACCCCACGGCCCCTGGGGGTGCACGATAGCCCACAACAGGCAGATGTGACTACTCCTGGGTTGAAACCACATCATGCCCCCATACCAGCAAGCACCAAATACCACCCGCTATGGTCACCACCAGCCCCAGCCCCCTCAGAAAGCTGCTCTGCACCATTTCCAGGGTGGCAGCGGCTCTCGTGCACGCCGGCACACACACGCACGTGCGCCCGCTCGCACGCAGCCGCCGGG